GGGGTCAGCCTCGATGATCTAGGAATAATGGCCATAAGTTGACTGAGAGTAGGTTCAGGCTAGACATCAGGAGGCACTACTTCACAGTCAGGGCGGCTAGGATCTGGAACCAACTTTCAAGGGAAGTGGTGCTCGCTCCTACACTGGGGGGTCTTCAAAAGGAAGCTAGATAATCACCTGGCCGGGGATGTTTGACCCCAGCATTCTTTCCTGCCCATGGCAGGGGGTTGGACTTGATGTTCTGCTCAGGTTCCTTCCGACCCTACCAACTATGACACTATGAAACTATCTAATAGGTCCCTTCCAACCCTAAAATCTAGGAAAATAAGTTATAGTAGATTTTTTTAGTATATGATATTCTTTTCCAGTTTCAAGATGGCAGCACCCTTCCTCCCAAAAGTAGTACTGCTGGGGCAAGGGGAGGAACTTCCAGTGACAAAGTCAGGGGCTAGGGGTGGGACTTCATGTCCTAAGATGGGCAACCAGGGGGTGGGACTACCCTTGTAACCCTCAACAGCTCACCAAAGCTCATTAAGTGGCCCTCCAGCCAAAATAATTGCCCACCTTTGCCCTAGCAGCTTTCTGAGATGCAGCATACCCCAAGAAGCAGCTCATAGGACTCTCTGGTGTGGGCCTTGTCCAGCCTATTGCTGAAGGGCAGGTATAGGGGTGAAGGCCCCCAGAACTACCCTTTGGGTGAACCCTCCCCCCCAAGTCCCAGACTGCCTGGGCATGGATGGAGCCCCTCCCAAAAGGGTGCAACCTTGTAGTTGATAGGGTTTCAAATTTCATTTGGTGTTTTTCTTTGCTTTCATTGCCTTTGTTTTCTGAAATAATCTGTCCTTTTGTGGGGGCTTGTGAGGAGGGGTTTTGTTTATGCAAGACGCCCCAGCCAAAATCAGAGATCACAGATTTCTGGATAGGGACTCGAGCCACAGTGAAAACTTATTGGGTACTCCAAAATTTGAACCCAGCCCTTGTTGCAGATGACTAGTGCCCAGCAGAAGGGTTACTCTAATTTCTCCAAAGGTAGCCTACACATAAGAGTTTTAGCTATGTGAAAAACATGAAAAGGCTACATTGCCGATGCGTTGAGAGCAGGGCTAAGGAAGTGATACTTCCTCTCAACTTGGTGCTGGTGAGACCCCAGATGGAGTATTGTGTCCAGTTCTGGGCAACATACTTAAAAAAAAAAGACATGGAGACTCATGAAAGGGTCCAGAGGGGCTACAAGAGGGGAAGCAAACAGCAGCAAACTACCCAGGAGAAATGAGAGCCAAGACATAAGTGAAAGCAAACTGAGAAATTTGGCTGAGAACATGAATCCCTGGTGACACTTTTTCACTATACTGAGGGGTAGAATTTCCACTTGCTGCATTATAGTTTTTGCTACAAAGACCCAGGATGATAAGAGGAGCAAACATGCTGTAGGGAGCAACAGCACTGCAACTTAGGCATTTGCTATAAATAACAGGATGAGCAATTAAAGTCCACAACTATTAGAAAAACCAGCATTAGCAATGGGTCCCATGGCTGACAGGAAGAGTAGATCATAGAAAGAAATCAGGCCATGAAGTTGTCTTGTATTGGATCTTCTGAAAGCAAAATATGCTTACTCCTCAAACTGGTCTTTCTGCAGAGGTGGAAGCAGCAGTTTGTCTGGAATGAAAGTAGTTCACAGTATTCGCAGGAAATACAGCACAGCTGCACAAAAAATACAGGACAAGACTTATTTTTCAGACACTACCTCCCAACATGACTTACTCATGGCATAAATCACAGATTTGTGTCCACCTCTGCTTATTAGCTTTTGCCCAATCTGGTTAAATTATATGGCAAAAATACATGGAATGGGTTCCAGAAATGGGCGAGAGTGTATGTATGGAACCTGAGTGTGGAATGTGTATGCATACATGTGTGCAATCGTGCATGTTTGGGGAATGGATGTACATGTGTAGGGGAGTGGGTGTGTGTAAAACGGGTGTAG